AGACGGTCCCCGCGTCCTCCTCTCCTCTCCTCTCCTCCTCTCCTCTCCTCCTCCTCCCCCTCCTCCTCCCTCCTCCCCCTCTTCCCTGCGTTTCACCCACCCAGTACAGCGCTTCGTCGCCCCATAGGATCTCCGCCGAAGGCCCCAGTGCTGCCGCCCGCATGCGTCACGCACACCCAATTCGGCACACCCCTCACACGTTTCGTGGCCCCATAGGGAGCTCCGCCGAAGGCCCCAGTGCTGCCGCCCGCATGCGTCACCCACACCCAATTCGGCACACCCCTCACACGTTTCGTGGCCCCATAGGAGCTCCGCAGAAGGTCCCAGCGTCTGCACGCCCGCTCCGCCGAAGGCCCCAGTGCGTGCGTCACCCACACCCAATTCGGCACACCCCTCACACGTTTCGTGGCCCATAGGGAAGCTCCGCCGAAGGCCCCAGTGCTGCCGCCCGCATGCGTCACCCACACCAATTCGGCACACCCCTCACACGTTTCGTGGCCCCATAGGAGCTCCGCCGAAGGCCCCAGTGCTGCCGCCCGCATGCGTCACCCACACCAATTCGGCACACCCCTCACACGTTTCGTGGCCCCATAGGGAGCTCCGCCGAAGGCCCCAGTGCTGCCGCCCGCATGCGTCACCCACACCCAATTCGGCACACCCCTCACACGTTTCGTGGCCCCATTGGAGCTCCGCCGAAGGCCCCAGTGCTGCCGCCCGCATGCGTCACCCACACCCAATTCGGCACACCCCTCACACGTTTCGTGGCCCCATAGGAGCTCCGCCGAAGGCCCCAGTGCTGCCGCCCGCATGCGTCACCCGCACCCAATTCGGCACACCCTTCACACGTTTCGTGGCCCCCTGGGAGCTCCGCCGAAGGCCCCAGTGCTGCCGCCCGCATGCGTCACCCCCACCCAATTCGGCACACCCCTCACACGTTTCGTGGCCCCAAAGGGAGCTCCGCCGAAGGCCCCAGTGCTGCCGCCCGCATGCGTCACCCACACCCAATTCGGCACACCCCTCACACGTTTCGTGGCCCCATAGGGAGCTCCGCCGAAGGCCCCAGTGCTGCCGCCCGCATGCGTCACCCACACCCAATTCGGCACACCCCTCACACGTTTCGTGGCCCCATAGGAGCTCCGCCGAAGGCCCCAGTGCTGCCGCCCGCATGCGTCACCACACCCAATTCGGCACACCCCTCACACGTTTCGTGGCCCCATAGGAGCTCCGCCGAAGGCCCCAGTGCTGCCGCCCGCATGCGTCACGCACACCCAATTCGGCACACCCCTCACACGTTTCGTGGCCCCATAGGGAGCTCCGCCGAAGGCCCAGTGCTGCCGCCCGCATGCGTCACCCACACCCAATTCGGCACACCCCTCACACGTTTCGTGGCCCCATAGGAGCTCCGCCGAAGGCCTCAGTGCTGCCGCCCGCATGCGTCACCCACACCCAATTCGGCACACCCCTCACACGTTTCGTGGCCCCATAGGAGCTCCGCCGAAGGCCCCAGTGCTGCCGCCCGCATGCGTCACCGCACACCCAATTCGGCACACCCCTCACACGTTTCGTGGCCCCATAGGGAGCTCCGCCGAAGGCCCCAGTGTTGCCGCCCGCATGCGTCACCCACACCCATTTTCGGCACACCCCTCACACGTTTCGTGGCCCCATAGGGAATCTACCGAAGGCCCCAGTGCTGCCGCCCGCATGCGTCACGCACACCCAATCGGGCACACCCCTCACACGTTTCGTGGCCCCATAGGGAGCTCCGCCAAGGTCCCCAGTGCTGCCGCCCGCATGCGTCACGCACACCCAATTCGGCACACCCTCACACGTTTCGTGGCCCCAAAGGGAGCTCCGCCGAAGGCCCCAGTGCTGCCGCCCGCATGCGTCCCGCACATTCATTTTGGCACACCCCTCACACTTTTTGTGGCCCCATAGGGAGCTCCACCGAAGGCCCCAGAGTGCTGCCGCCCGCATGCGTCCCGCACACACATTTCGGCACACCCCTCACGCGTTTCGTGGCCCCATAGGGAATGCGTCCCGCACACCCATTTCGGCATACCCTCCACACGTTTCGTGGCCCCATAGGGAGCTCCACCGAAGACCCCAGTGGGTGTGCCCGCATGCGTCCCGCACATCCATTTCGGCACACCCCTCACGCGTTTCGTGACCCCTCACACGTTTCGTGGTCCCATAGGGAGCTCCACCGAAGGCCCCAATGGGTGTGCCCGCATGCGTCCCGCACACCCATTTTGGCACACCCCTCGCACGTTTCGTGGCCCCGTAGAGGGGTTCCACCGAAGGTCCCAGTGCTGCCGCCCGCATGCGTCCCGCACACCCATTTCGGCATACCCTTCACACGTTTCGTGGCCCCAAAGGGAGCTCCGCCGAAGGCCCCAGTGGGTGTGCCCGCATGCGTCCCGCACGCTGATTTCGGCACACCCCTCACGCGTTTCGTGACCCCTCGCACGTTCTGTGCTCCCATAGGGAGCTCCACCGAAGGCCCCAGTGGGTGTGCCCGCATGCGTCCCGCACGCTCATTTCGGCACACCCCTCGTACGTTTCGTGGCCCCGTAGGGGGCTCCACCGAAGAAGATATTCACAACTGCGGTACTCACAATTGCATATGGTTGGGTCCTTCGCCAGGATAATTTTGCAAAGAATGTGCGCGGCGCTCAAGCGAGAGCATCATTTTGAACACGACCCGCCCTCAACCCGTGAAACTCTTGCTTTTTTCCCGGAAAGGGCGCGGGCCCAGGCTTCTCTTTTAGTGTGGTGCCTCAACTGAGGGGCGCCGGCGGATTTTCTTTGGTAAATATCCAGGTCGAAGGGCGCTGGCGGATTGAATTTTGAGGAAGTCTCGAGCGAAACGCTTGTTTTTCAGAATTTGGTGAGGATTTCTCTAGCGAAACGCTGGTTTTGCAAAATTGTGGGATGTCTCGAGCGAAACGCTTGTTTTCAGAATCTGTTGAGGATGTCTCGAGCGAAACGGTGGTTTTGCAGAGCCGACCGCGACGCGCAAAAGCGCCCCGCGCGCAGGAATTCCGAGGATTTCTAGCGCGTGCCGCGTCCCGCGCGCATGAATTTCGAGGATGTCTTGACTAATTCGTTTGTTTTTTTAGGATTCCTCGAATTTTGGCAGGACGTCTCGAGCGAAATGCACGACCCCACCCTAGCACGGCCACGCCCCAGCACGACCACACCCCAGCACGACCA